GCCAGCATAGGAATATTTTGAATTAACTGCAATAAAAGGATTCTATTTGCCCAATGCACTAATTATTTTTAATCAAATATGAAATATGGACGGGGTACTTTCATTCCGAATCTTATGTAATTTAATTCAATCATTTTTTGATAGAACTATTGTTTATTAAGAGTTCTCAGATCAGCCTCACATACCCGGGCTCACATGTCTCATGTGATTGCAAACAAAAAATGTAAATTGTGAAGTTACAAACAACTCGGTTAAATTATCTGATAGTGGTCATACACTATCCTGTTAAATGGTTATTATGTCGTAGTAAGAAGTTCCATCAGAAATTCACCATGAGTGACATTTGCGCAAAGCGTTACCTTTTGGTATTTATTGAAGAAAAATTCTACAGTCTGTTGGATCTATTTTTACAGTTTTGCTTTTGCAAGATATTTTAAAAAATTGACTGTTTCTACACTGAATAAAAAGCATTTTCCCAGGAATATTTGGATCGGGAGATAGGCAGCGGGAAATATGCATTGGAATTTTTATATATGTTTATCCCATCCTTGGACGTATATTGGACGTATATTGGGAATATTTGAGAGAACAGAAAAAACCGCCCACGGCCAAGCAAACAAAACAGGACATGGATGAATATTCTAACATATTTTCATGATTGAACAATGCGAACCAGATGACCAAGATTAGTATGGAATAAACATATTATCCTATAGTCGGGCAGATATATTATATTTGCCTCGGGATAACGCCAATATCCTGAACCTCAAATAGGATAATCTTTATATATGTCATGCTCCTCCAATATATCAATTCTAATAGTATATCCCAATGTTTTCAAGTATAATATTTTCAAGATACGATCTGCTATGACTTGCAGAAATAAATAGGAAGTAATCGTTTAGTTGATTGAACTATGGTAGTAGTGAAGTCAATGATTTAATGAATAAGAGCAAATGTTTTTAATTTGAACAGGTCATTCATCAAATGACACTGAAGCTTAACTTAAATAGATTTTTATGCATGGGAGATGTTATAATGTTGGTGAACTAATGAATATGATAAGTTCACCTGTTCACATCCAGTTCCTATCATGATTGACACTGACAGGGAGTAATTCTCTTCAAATTATTTACTCATTATGAACAGAAATTTAATATTTCAATCGCTTAGAAGGCGTAAATAAATGTCAATTTGACATTCAATAAAAATCAAGTCAATAACTTACTGATTACTTGCACATTTGAAGAGGTAAAACTTACAGCAATCAACCAAGGATTTACATGTAAACTCAATTGCATTTGTTTTTCGCGGGAAAAAGTTTCTCTCATTGACGTCACCGATTTTTAAGCAGCTCATTATAATATTCATGAGCTGATTTTGTGGAAAGGTGAATACCTATTTATTACAGGTCGTGTGGACCATTGTTGCCTGATTTATAGCAAAAACATTGACTTTTGCACGTTGGTGATGATGCGCCTTTTTTAATAGATCTAATACCTTAGAAGCCTATCAGTTTTACAAAAAATATGAGAAGACCTAACATATTTTGCTATGTACTGCGCCTATTCATTAGGCAATTCAGTTGTAAACTTTCTCCTGAAAAAATAAATCTTCCAGATTTGTTGAATTTTCTTGCAAAAATCGCCTACTCCCCCTTCCATTCATTTTGTACGATCACCGGGCGTGAGCATATAGAATTTGAAGAAAATCCGTCGACTGGTATTTGAGTTTACAGAGATTATGTTTTTTAACTGCCATCTTGAAAATCCCTTTTCGAGCAAAGCTCCTATGTCCCTAGGCATCAGCATGTCAAATTTGAACCAAATCCATCCACTGGTATTTGAGTTATCAAAGATTACAGGGTTTTACAAAAAATGGGTGGCCATTTTGAAATTCAGTGGCCATCTTTAAAATCTCTTCTTGAGCAAGGTTCCTTTATCCCTAGGCAACAGCATATAAACTTTGAACCAAATCGGTTGACTAGTATTTGAGTAATCAAAGATTATATTTTTTACAAATAATGGCCGTCATTTTGAGCGGCCATATTGAAAATTTCTTCTCGAGCAGGGGTCCTACACCCATAAGGCATAAGCCTATAAAATTTGAATCACATCCGTCAGCCGGTATTTGAGTTATTGCCCAGACAGACGGACGAATGGGCAGCTTTCCTATATCCCCCTCGAACTTCATTCAGTGGGATAAAAATGATAAACATTCTGGTTTGAGCCCTTTCCACCTGTAATAATGTAAGACTGATACACTCATTCCCTTAGAATACCATATATTGGCGAAGTGTTTTACCCTTAAAGATAAAAAGCATTCAATGACAAAAGATCATCCAATTAAATTGATAAATCTACATTATGGGGTAACAGCCATTGTAAATGGTGATTAAGCATGGTATTCATTGCAGTATTATACGACGGAAAGCGATTAGGGACCCCCACATAATTCAAAACCGAATGGAGTTTTAACATGGCAGTGATAATTCACACTGCGCATCTATTTCTCCACACTTTATTTCTTTAAAGGAAAATTGACGTTCATCGTTGTGCCTTCGCGCATATATGAATGCCCCGATTAGAAAATATGGTGTCCGTAAATTGACAATATTTGCATAACGTAATATTACATTGCTAAATAGTGGGTTGACCCGCGTTTTGTGATTTGTTCATAACTTTGACATTGGCTATCGCGGCGTTGTTGAAATCACTGCAGTCTGCAAATTAACTCTGTATTTTTTGCAACAGCGCCATCTTTCATACTCACTAAAATCAAATAACTTCATTATCTATCTGTTCAACACCTGTTTACAATTTCTTCTGGGAGAAGGAAAGTTCCTATATGTATTCCAGGCCTGTAGCAAGGGGGATGCACCCAATCCCCCGCCCCCGGCCAGACATTCGTTGTTTATTAGCTTATTGAGCTTATTTTTATTATTGCCGTATGGCCTATTCAGTCATATAGAAACTCCCTTATTGCTTTAAATATTTTTATTAATCACTGTTCAGTTGGATCAGAATGTTATATGAACATTCAAGACATGTCATAATATATTCTTATTCAGATCATAGATCATCAAAGGATTGAAGATTCAAGTGAAAAATCCAGTAATATCTGTCTAATCTTAACAATTCTGAGACCAGCATGAAGTGTTCTGTTTATTGTATTCATATTTTAAGGTTTTATGAACAATTTATAAGTCAATGGAAAATAACAAATTCGAGACGTTCACATTGAGCAGTGTTTGGAGTAGAGGTGTCCAGATATATAGGTTTCGCTGAATATTACAAATTGATTTTGATATTCAGTCAGATGTGCGGTTCCAGTGGCATTCATATTGGACAGGTATTATTACTGTATCTTTTGTTCATTGCATATATCATTTTAGATTATTTTTGTTAATAAAGTTAATTCATTTCATCTCATGTTGTTTTATTTAATAATTTATTTCTCAAAATATAAAGGTGTTTTTAGGGAGTTTTTGGCCATAACGAACAGACTTACTCATTTTGAATAGCCTATATATAAACATGATAAAGGCAAAACAGTAGGAAATATTATGATCAAGCAAATAATCGTCAACTCCTTACAAACATATTCCAAAAGAACCATGGAAAAATATCAAATTGTGAAGTTCTTTGAATTAATGTACACCTTTTACAGTCAAATAATAAACACAGATAAAATTGATTTTAAATTGTAATAGTATGTTAGTGTATGGAGTTTGAAGTGGGAGGGGGATACAATTACCAGTCTGCTGATTGATGACTTAATAACTTATAAAAGATCTCATAGCTTTTATCAGGTGGCACTTATGTCTGACTAACGTTCTTTAAACAATCTCGTCTAAGAATACAGGCCCGTATCCTGGATTAACCAGGGGAGCGGTTTTACAAAGGGGGGGATTTTGCCAAGAGGGTGGGGGGCTTTTTGACGTTTTTTGCAAAAAAAATCATGTGAAAAGTGCTAAGAATGGTGAAAAATTGCATGATTTTGAATGAATATTTGGCAAGGGGGAGGGGGGGTGAGGCCCCCTGGCTACGGCCCTGGAATACATATAGGAACTTTCCTTCTCCCAGAAGAAATGGTATACAGGTATAACATCAATCATTCTGGTATTTTGTATACGAAGGTGTGTAGTACACACGTTATTGAAAGATGGTAGTGTACACTGTGTACTACCATTTTGAGGTCAGTTTGACTATATAATTCCCCGCACTCACAAATCTGTATTTCTCAAAGATATCCTCTCTAGAGACATCACTGTAATCCAAAATTACAATTTCGCGGGTCAAGTTCGCAGTCTTTCGAAAAAAGTTGAATTCGTTGTGCCACGAATTTTCATTCGTTATTTATTCACAGATAATCATATTTTCATCGCGCACTGAATGAATTACAAGGGCCGCGTTGTGCAAAGTGAATTAAATAAATAAAGTGCGCAGAAATCGATCTGACTGGGCCGCCGTGTGCATTATCACTCACATGTTAAACTCCATAGAATTTTAAATTCTGCGGTACATCCCCTTTCGCTTTCCATATTATACTATACAAGCAGGCTTTGATTATTACAAGCATGGTTTAAGGCATTTATTTGTGCATTAGTTAATAAAACCAGCTGCATTAAAAATCACTGCATCAACTTCTAAACGTTATTTGAGCAGAAAGCCCTCCAAACTTCACATATACTGATGCAATAAAATATTAATTCCATGTCATCTCAGTGATCTCCCTAAGATTTATTCTAAATGGGGTGTTAAATCTTTATTCTACCTGATGTAATTTTCAGCTTTTGAAAAGGGTGCAGCACCTGACTATATATAGTGTATTTTTCAACTTCTTGATTGAATAATCTCTATTAAATGATACAGCTTTTCCTTATAGTATATACAGTTGTGTATTGCGAGTATTGTGTGTATGTCTAGAGGAGCGAACAGGGCTGACAAAGCGTGACATTTGAAAGGAGTCGAGTGAAGAGTCAGTCGTGAGAGAGTTACCTGCGAAGTCCTGCATGGTCTGGACAATCACTCTCTGGTTATCTATAGATGATACAAGTGACTCCATGTCTAGTGGGATACCTATACTGGCCTATAATGCAGAAAAATATCAACTCAATCAAAATTCTAAAACAATTTTAACATATCATTTCAATTATTGATGTTTTGAATTGAGTGCAATCTCGTAGACCCAAACATTGTGATGTTCAGGTGCACTGGTTATCTGACCTAATGATGTCAATATTAATAGAAAATAACACTATTTCAATATCTCCAGTTGATTGACAACAGAAATCATCCTCTAAACAATAATAGCATAGACATGTGTATATGGAATGCTCTTGGCTCTGCTAAGACCTCCTTAGAAGGTCTAAATATGGAGGTCTAAATTAATATGAAGTCATTGGGTCACTGGGCTTGGGCAATTCACTTGACAAGTTTTACTCCTGACACCAGAGTTTGATTCTGATTTTGAGTGGTCTTATCAAAGAATTACATAGAGAACTAGCTGAAGTGTTAAGTTGCAAAGTTGCGCTGTTTAATAAAAGGAAAGAAATATGTAGGAACTTGTCGCACATGTAACAAAGCAACTTTCTCTGGTGTCGGTTAGGCTACGCTCTATAACAAGTCAAATCAGCATGCATTCACATGGTCTAAAATATACAAAGTACCTAGCAAAGTATTAATGTAATTATGACAAACAACACAGCTATATCACTTACCACATGAACAACCATGTAGTCCATCTTAAAACCATATTTGTGCAAAATTGGTTTGAACACATCTCGTATTGTCCTATTTGGTTTGGCCTTAACTCCAATGGATTTCCGATTGGGTAAATCCAGTCGAAACATCACCCGTGTCTCAATACGTATCTCCTGACTCCCAAGAGACGAGATGTCCCTATTCAAATCGAGAGCCTGCAAGTTTAAAGGTTTGATTTAAATCTCACACTCAACCAATCTTGATAAATGCTTATTGTCAAGGGCTTCTAAATATTACATTATCTGAAATAAGAGTTCTAGTGAAATGTACAATGAAACAATCAAACAAGGCATTAATATGACAGAATGTCTCCACTTCCAAATATTACATTATCTGAAATCAGGGTTCTAATAAAACGCATAATGAAACTAGAAAACAGCAACTCCAGAGTAGCAAATCCACCAACGTAACATATTTTGATAAAAAGTGGGCATTTTTTCGCCATTTTTCATTTCAGCTGTCATCTTGAAAATTTAAGCAGCGGACGTTTGACCCTAGGCATCAGCATATAAAATTTGCATTGGAGTTATCAAAGATTATGTATTTTTTACGAAAAATGGCAGCCATTTTAAAATTCAGCAGTCATCTTGAAAATTTCTTCTCAAATGGAGCTCCTTTGTCCATAGGCAGCAGGATATAAAATTTGAACCAAGTCTGTCCACTTGACTTATCATAGATTATGTTTTTTATACATAAAATGGCAGCCATTTTAAAATTCTTCGAAAATTTCTTCTTGAGCAGAGCTCCTTTGTCCCTAGGCAGCAGCATATAAAATTTGAACCATAATCCATCCCCTGGTATTTGAGTTATCAAAGATTATGTTTTTTTACGAAAAATGGCAGCCATTTTGAAATTCAGCAGTCATCTTGAAAATCTCTTGTTGAGCAAGCTCCAAATCCGTCAACTGGTATTTGAGTTATCAAAGATTACATTTTTTAATTTTTGAAAATTCCTTCTTCAGCAGAGGTCCTATATATAAAATGTTAACCAAATCCATCCACTGGTACTTGAGCAATGAAAGATTATACTTTTTTTTCCCATTTCTCATTTATTCCATATATAATATATAAAAATACAATACAATATTATTGCCTACGTTTTTCAACATTGTCGGCAATATACAAAACATGTCAAACTGGAAATACTGGAAATACAATAGATTTGGTCCGCAATATGGATGGTGAAAAATGTTAGAGGCCTTTGGGGGGGGTTTAGTCTAAAATATCAAGAGCTAAACAGATGTAATGGCTAACTATTTGAATAATTTGTTCATTCTCCATTACTGTTAGATTTCTGTCTCCAAATAATAAAAATTGAATTTTTTCATTTTCATTGGATTATACTTTTTACGAAAAATGACCACCATCTTGGAAATTGCTTCTTCAGCAAAGTTCCTTTGTCCCTTGGTATCGTCATATAACATTTGAACCAAATTTGTGCACTAGTATTTGAGTTACCAAAGATTACATTTTTTACAAAAAATGGCAGCTTTTCAATTGAGCGGCCATATTGAAAATTCCTTCTTGAGCAGAGGCCCTACACCCATAAGACATAAGCCTATAAAATTTGAATCAAATCCATCAACCGGTGTTTGTTATCATCCAGACACATGAACGGACCGACAGACTTCCAAATATCACATTATCTGAAATCAGGGTTAAATGTACAATGAAACAATGAAAAAAGGCATTTACGATTTTGTATATGACAAAATGTCTCCACTTCCAAATATAAGATTATCTGAAATCAGGGTTCTAATGAAATGTACAGGGTGGGCTAAAAAAATTTGCAACTTTTTTAAAAGGCTAGAAAAGTATCAAAACATAAGGGTATTGCCATAAAAAATTATTTACAGAAACTTAAGGATAGGCATATTTTACCATTTAAATACTAAAGCTAAACTGGACTTCAATTTTTCAATCAGATCTTTGAATATCAATGGTCTATTGTTCATGTGTCCGAGATTTACCGTTCTTCCTAGAAAATGTTTCATTTATGTGATCAACAATAACACATTCATTATGTTCACTAAATCTGTTACAATCTTGGATAACTGTTCAACCAATGTATATACAGTTTATATCAGTATCTAGTCACTATGATATTATGTATCTATTGATTACTTATCAAACAAATTTCATGCATCCACCTTTCACCTTCTCTACAGCGCGCAAGGAGACATGGGCGGAACTGGTCAATGGCGTGATCCAGCGATTCTTGTGGTAGTTCTCTCCACTTCTACTGCAGAACTTCTTTTAGTTTAACAATAGTTTGTGGGGGATTACCATTAACTGCAATAAGCTGCTCCAGGTGCCCCCAATGGTGATAATCACAGGAGTTGGCATCTGGGGTATAAGGCAGCCATTCATCAGGACTAATGAATTAAGGCTTATTCTCTTCCAGATACATGTATTCCAAAGTGACTTTTGCCCGATGGCTGGGAGCGATAGGGAAGGTGAAAGGGGGAAGCATAGAACATTTGTTTAATAGATAATTAATAAATACAACATAACATAATACCATAGTGACTAGATACTGATATAAACTAGACATTGAGGTAGACATTGTTTAAACAGTTATCTAGGATTGTAGCAGATTTAGTGAACATTATGAATGTGTTATTGTTGATCACATAAAATCATAGAAAGTCACATTTTCTAGGAAAAATGGTAAATCTCAGACACATGAACAATAACGCAAATGCGAGTAGGTAGTTACCAGTTTCACCACCAGGTGGCTCGCTCGGGTCAGATAGCATGGCGGGTATAGTAGAAAGTTCCCTTTAACTCGAATTACATCTGTTTTAGTGGTTCAATTTTCATATAGCCCTTATGTATCGAATAGTTTTGCAAATTTAAGTATGTCCAGTAAAGGAAAATGTTATATGTCCAATTCAAGAAAAGATATTTCACTTTTTGTGATTTTGTAATATGGGGTCTATGGGGAATTAAATTTTCAAAGTTGATAAACAATTTTCGAAACCATATTTTTAGATATATTTTTAAATGCAGATTTCAAATATGACATCACGTTGACTGAATTTTAAATATTTAATGACTTAAATCAAGATCATTTTTACTCGCATCTAGTCTATTGACCATTGATATTCAAAGATCTGACAAAAAAATTTGAAGCCAGTTTTAGCTTGAGCATTTGACTGGTTTCTGTAAATATTTTTTTTATGGCAATACCCTTATGTTTTGATACTTTTCTAGCCTTTTAAAAAAGTTGCAAATTTTATTGGCCCACCCTGTACAATGAAACAATAAAAAGCATGAATATGACAATGACAAAATGTCTCCACTTGCAAATGGTAACAAATGAGTCAGAGACTGAAGCAGGTCACAAAAATGGTCTACATGTATATGACATAAAATGTCAAGTTGGTATGAATAATTAAGCTTCTGGCTGGAGATTCTAGGTCTATAATGGCAAAGTCAGTGAACAACCGAACCTACTGAATAAGCTTACAGAAAAGGCAAACCCAGCCTATGTGAACTCTATTGGAATATGCTTAAGTGATTACTATCCATGACACAGTCCATCCATAGGCACAGTGGTACACATAATATTCAAGGAATGATAATGAAAACTTGGTGTCCTTAAATAAGATTAGATAAACCATGAAGTATAAGAAAGGAGAAATTGGTGTAGCTAAAAATTGGGCAGGCATGGCTACTGATAAAAAAAACACTTTCAATGTTTTTAAGCCTAAAACTGCTAAACATTTTTTCTAATTACTCAGATGCAAGTAGGTAGTTACCAGTTTCGCCACCAGGTGGCTGATTCGGGGGAAATAACATGGCAGGGTATTACAAAATTCCATTAAACTTAAATATTCATCAGTTTTAGTGGTTCACTTTTCATATTACCCTTATGTATCTGATAGTTATACAAATTAAAATATGTTCAGTAAAAGAAAATATTATCTGCCCAACACAAGAAAAGATATTTCCATTTTTGTGATTTTACAATATGGGGGCTATGGGAAATCTCAAGTCAAACAATAAAATATCTAAAGGGCAGGTGTATGTCCCACCTTTATTTAAAAGATCAATAGATAATTAGTCTAGTTAAGCTTATTAAGGGATGTTTCTAAGAAAGTAATGAAACCTATTCCTTTAACTAGGCTAATTAAATAATCATTTAATTATACTAATAAGGCTCCCTAACGACAAACTGTCAGAATCAGAATAAATATAAAATACCTTGTCAGAATCCAACAGATATGCATCAACAGCAGCAACATTCAAACTACGTTTTTCACAAAGTCTCGCCAAGATGCATCTGACAGTCTCCCCTGGGGTGGCACTCACTACTGTAGTACCCCCATCAGCCATGATGATGCGGCAGAATTTCAGATTTTCTTTGTCAGCTAACTGAACGCCATCTTTACTTAGAGACTGTAAAAGGAATTAAAGCCAGGAATTAAAGTTGGGAATCAAAGCCAGGCTTGAAACAGAGGAGAAAAACTGAGTATAGTAAAACTTGAGAACTTAAGGTGCTTTGTAATGTTACATCAAGGCCTGTAGAGAGAAAATTCTTTTTTTTTACTTTTCTGAGCTATCAGGGCAACATCTGGCTTAACAAATCTCCTTTGAGATATCTATACCTATGGATAAACTATCAATTTCTGCATTAAGAAGTGTAAATTCAGTTCAAAGCTTCTATAAAGGGAGTCCCACTTATTCACAGATTTTTAAGATCCACCACGTTTGACTAAATGAAATATCAGCTGAAATAATGTTCATCCAGGGGGTTCATTTTAGGAGTCCCAAGATTCATTGATACATTGATGCATCGGCTCGTTTGGTTATGATACGAGCGTATCGATACACACTGTCGAATATTGATACTGAGATTGTCGCTATTGATCATCTCCGTAGCACTACAGAAACTATTGGTACGGAGGAGATAATCTCAGTAGCAATACAGAAAATATGGTATATTTCCTAGGGATTATCTCATAAGTAAAATGTTTTGGCCTAAGATCACACAATAAAAACGTTATAAATGATTTGAAGTGCAATACAGGATATATTCTGCTCTCGATATTCTGTATTGGCACGAGACGTATTTCTCATGCAAAATATATCTTGTATTGCACTTCAAATTTAATATATTCAACTGAATGACATAAAATGTTTCGAAATGTTGCTCGTATTGTAAGGTAAGTATCGAGATTTGTATCGTATTGTTTCATAGTGTATCTAGGACGCCTAGTTTCTTTGTAGACAATAAAATTATATGTATTAGAGGTGTCATGGGTCAGACATTTTTCGGGTCGGTTCGGGTCAGAAAAAAAGTTCGAGGGTCTGGTAATTTCGGGTCGGGTCAGAAGAAAACAGAAAAAATGAATTTGACTTAATTATCGAACTCTCCAATTACAATGATGCACAGAACAGAAGATCATTTCAATATCATTTTTCCTGATGATTTTTACAACAAATTAAACAGCAGAAATGAAAAGTGAATGTGAAACTGAAATTCAGAGACAAAGTCGGTATCACAAAGCTTACAGACAGTAATGTCTTTTCTGGCAGTGGCATCCTCTGAAGACTTTGAAAGTCCAAAGTACTAGCTATGAAGTATATCCAAACAAATGATTTTAGGCTCGTGGGCGAAATTATTACCCTTCTTTTTTGCTATTTGTTTGCATGTAAATTACGAACGCACTTTTAGAGTTGACTAACGCGTCACATAGTACTACCAACGGAAACGACTTGGGGAATAAATGACACAATATAAACATGTCTATAAGTGTTTCAGTCAGTGTTATTGCATATTTTAAGGCTTTGATAAATAAATAATGACATAAACTTAGAATTAAATCGTTCTGAAAGAACCGTAAATTATTTTCTGTTCGTAATTTGTACGTATACAAGAAATACTAAGGTCAGCTAGAAATTTTTTCATTTTCATTTCATTTTTTTTATCCCATACTTGGAGTTACAGGGTACATAAAGCCGGTTTGTAAAAACTTATATTTTCATCAGCGGGCAGATATAGCTTTACATCCCGCTCCTGAGCGGGCAGATATAGTATATCTGATACTATATCTGCCCGCCCGCTACGTCATAATTGCCGTTCACATGCTGTAAACGACAATGGAGAAAAACGCATACAATCGCGATCTGTTTGATGCTTTAAATAATCAAAGATTAGAACAGGAAAATATGGCTACGGACAAGAATACAAAACTGGAAATGAATATCTAAAATAATTCCACGGTTGGTTGCAAAGTTTCTGAACTGTTGCCAAATGTGAACAATGTGAACCAAATGACCAAGATTGGTATGGGATAAACAGATCATCCTATAGTCGGTTCAGGATATTGGGATTATCCCTTGGCTAATATAATATATCTACCCTCGGGACCTACGGCCCTTGGGCAGATATATTATATTGGCCTCGGAATAATCCCAATATCCTGAACCTCATATAGGCTAATCTCTATATCTCTTATATATAAGAGATATATTCCCAGGGTTTGTCACCAATAGATGTCACTATCAGGTGTTGATACAGGTTCCTGTGGGAATACAAAGCATTTTATCTACTTTTTACGATCATTTACGATGTTCCTGAGTGTTCTCACCCGACCCAAAATCAGTAAGTAGTTGTTCGCATTTCGGGCCGAGCCTTCTGACCCGAGGTTCGGCTCGACTTCGGGTCGGTGTGACACCTCTAATATGTATGTTAGTCTTGATGTAATATCAAAAATCAGATATATCTTGACACTGGTCCTCTGCACTAATTGTTGCACCTTTTATGTCCAATAGTTGACATCAAAATGCATGTAATACAAAGAGGAAAATGGCCCTAATCCGTTCCCTATATTCTTTTTTCGCCAAAAACAGTTGCACTGACAGGGGCAACAGGACACTAACTTTGATGCAGCGTCCCCTTATTAACATATGTAGTTCCATACCTCTCTTGAAGTAGATGCCTCCTTTGACATGACATTTAGGTCAGAGCTAGCTAGTGAATTTGTGCGTGCTAAACTTCCACTTCCTGTCTGTGAATCTACATCTTTAGGTTCTTTCTTTGAATTCTTCTTTGGTGGGCTCTTTGTTAGTCTTCTTTTACCTGGAGAGATAACATTACATCTACATTTAATGTAAAATAAGTGAACATGTACATCTGAACATCTGTACTTATATTACACTGCACTAAGGCACTTCTAGGTATGACACATACAAAAACATTAATACAGGAATATATTTTTCATTTTTGTTATTCAAAACAACAACGTTTTTGTGGTCTGTTTACACCTGATTCTCTCCATTTAGACAGGTTTAACAGCTCACCTCTAAAACTACAGCAGAAAGTAAAATATCTTACCAACTATATTATAGTTAGTTGAGGTAGGTCAGTGTTGGTCAAGTTGAAATGGGTTCATATTTGAAATAAGCAAAAAGCCATTTTAGTTTGTTAATTAGCTAAAATTGGTTCCCCCATTATTGAACGCACTGACCCATGTTAGAACCGGACCAGACTACTTCTTTGGTCAAAACTAATGAAATGATAACATGGTCACCCAAGCTATGGTCACCTGCCCAATCTCTTTGTATTACACATATACAACATATTAAGTGAGTATCAGATCTATTCAAATTTCAATTCAATTCACTTTCATTCATAATTTTTAAACATATAAGAGTTAACAATAACATGAAAAGGAACACCCCATGGGGTGCATCCTCCGATCACAGGGCTTCAAAATCCAGAATATCTTCTTTCTTTTTACACCCTGCTATAAGCAGTTAGCATTTCCCCGATTAAGAACTCGCAATTAGATTGGCTGTCGCAACACTGCGACAGCAATCATGTATACGTCATTGGTGCATAATTAGATCACGTGACTCAGTTTAATCGGACGCTTCCAAATTGGTTATAGCAGGGGGGAAGAAGGAGGTACGGATTCTGTACACCTGCTTAGGAGGAAATAGAAATACTTGTTTTACATAATATAACACGAAAATACCAGAGGGGCTCTAATTGTGTTTTAAGACGACCCCCTTCCTTTAAGATTGCAGTCCATCTTTTTTCAAAAATTCATTCTATGAGTAATGTTTTTCAGAAAATAAATATGACTTGGAGCTTTAACTAGACAACAGCAACGCCAAAGCATAGCAAATCCCATTGAACAGCCATGGCTGGCATTTTTATGAACAAAGTATAAAGCAAAAAATGGCAAAAGTGTCATGCTTATAGTATTCACATACCAAATATGAACAAAATCGCTCCACTACTTTTCGAGTTATAATAATAAAATACAATAAAATGGTGACCATTTTTCAAAATGGCCGCCTTCTACCAAAAGTGTCATTAGACAGTGTGCCATGCTTATACTATTCACATACCAAATATGAACAAAATTGCTCTACTACTTTTCGAGTTATAGTAAAATAAGTTAAAATGGCGGCCATTTAGAAAAAATGGCTGCCTTCTACCAAAAGTGTCATTAGACAGTGTGCCATGCTTATAGTGTTCACATACCAAATATGAACAAAATCGCTCCAGTACTTTTCAAGTTACAGCAAAAATCGTAAAATAACGAGTTAAGGCAGCCATTTTTCAAGATGGCTGCCATGTGCTTCTTTAATATCTACATTTCTAGCTTTATTAATGTCCTATATAACTTTTTTACATTTAAAACATATTGCTATTAAAGTTTTACCTATTGCACCTAAATTACTGTAAAATCAGCACTAAAATGGCCGCAATTTAAAAATGAGCGGCCATTTTGAAAATCGTCTTTTGAGCAGAACTTCTACCCTCATAGGGTATATGTGTACAAAATATGAACGAAATTGGGCCAACAGTATTTGAGTTATTGCTCTGACGGACGGACAGACGGATGGACGGAAGGACGTAAGGACGGACAGACAGACAGAGGGGTTCCCTTTATCCCTCCCAACTTTGTTCGATGGGATAAATATCTTATTTATTATATGCAATATTCCCTTAACTTTTATACACCACTCCTAAACCACATAACTATACAACATGAACAGACTTGTACCCAGTGTTTTTCTTGAGGCAAAATACATCATAGGACCACTGGACTGACAGGTTCTACATTTTGACCAGTCTATACCAAAACTCATCGGACATTCGGACCTGTAACTTCAGTTTAATCACGGTCCTTGTGAAAACTAACCAGTCCAATGAGCACTATAGCATTAAGATGTGAGAAATGAAAGTTTGAACCGATCGCTCTCTGAAATCTCAGTTTATCTAAGGTAAAACCTTGAGATTCTGAAAATCATTTTTTGTAAAATTGGCTGCATGGGAGGATGTTTACATAAGTATATGTTTGCTATTTTGATTATTTAATTATATTATATTATTATATTATTACATTTATAGCATTTTTACAAAAAGAGTAGCAAAATTTGTAAAATCACACACAAAATATTTTCAAAATGGTTACTCACTCTAGCCAAATTGTCATCAGAAAGTGTAATATGCTTCGAAGTACACACGTATAAAGTTTCAACAAAATCGCGTACATGTAAATGGTGGCCATTTTGAAAAATGGCCACCTACTAGCCAAAATGTCATAAGACACTGTGCCATGCTTATTAGTATTCACATATTAAATATGAACAAAATCGCTCTATTACTTTTTGAGTTATAGTAAAAAAACATAAAATAACGCACATAAAAATGGTGGCCATTTTGAACTCCCCAAAGTGTCATTAGACAATTTGCCATGTTCATAGGATTCACATATCAAATATGAACAAAATCGCTCCACTAGTTTTTGATTTAAACGTAAAAATGATTTTTTTCAAAATGGCTGCCTATACTACCCAAAGTGTCATTAGATAGTGTAGCATGCTTATAGCATTCACATACCAAATATGAACAAAATCGCTCCACTACTTTTCAAGTTTTAGCAAAAATCGTAAAATAGAGTGGAAAGTGTGCCATTTTTCAAGATGACTGCCATGTGCTTCTTTAAAGTGGGAGTATCGATTGCCGAGTCGTATCCAATGATCCTGGGCCTATCGTAAAATGAAAGCTTTGAATATGTTGTTGCCTTTAAAAATGTATCTATTTTCCATGTATGCTACTAGAATTTGTGCACATACCTTATAACGATCGATAATGGCAAAGGAAAATCCTCTAATTCTTCGTCATAATTTCTCCTTCGACGTCCGCCATTTTTTATTAAACCGGAAGTTTTTCTCTGACGTCCGCGCAATGTTTTTTCACTTTTATTTCAGATTACGCTTCGGATTCAACATTTAATGCTTTCTAATATTAATTAAGTGTTTTCTATCAGAAAGATTTCATAAAAAGACTCACACTATCAGAGATTTTATCGATTCGAGCAGCCAGAAAAATTAGTTTCAATTTCACCCGCTAGGTGTTTCGACGTCGACTTGGAAAGAATTTGAAAAATCTATGAGTGGGACTCCTTGTATGGAATTGTAGATTCTAAACGATTTGCCAGTTCTACTGGTTGATGAATATTGCCATATGCATACATTTTTATAAAATAGGAATAAGGAAGAAGATGTTGGACCAAACTTCACCTCGATAGCTCAGAAAAGGTAAAACTTCTCCATTTTTCTCTCCACAGACTTTAGAGCCGCTTTAATATGTACGTTTTTAGTTTTATTAATGTCCTATATATTTTTTACATTTAAAACATATATTGCTTTTACAGTTTTACATATTGTACCTTTACTGTTAAATCGACACTACAATGGCCGCCATTTTGAAACGAGTGGCCACATTGAAAATCGGCTTTCGAGCAGAACTTCTATCCCCAATGGGCACAAAATGTGTACAAAATATGAACAAAATTCGACCAACGGTATTTGAGTTATCTCCTGGACGTACCTACGGATGTACATACATGCAGACAGATGGATGGACAGGGGCGTTCCCTATATCCCTCCGAACTTCGTTCAATGGGATAATAAATGTGAAGCAAAATGAAGTGTCAGAAAGGCAGTACAACTGCAAACATGTACTTTTAAAGTGAAAAGAATTTGACGCAATATTGTCACTTTGGTCGTGTCAACATAGGTACAAGTCTGAACTAAACAACATGTTACATACATCTGATACACATCATGCAAGATCCCATGATTCTACCATCTACTACTATACCTGTTATACGATCCATTAAAGCTTAAAAAATGAACAAAGCAAGGTCATTCATCAATCACAACCAGAACAACGGCAACGCCAAAGCGTAGCGAATCCCATCGAACAGCCATGGAAGGCATTTTTACAAACAAAGTATATAGCAAAAATGGCAGGCATTTTTCAAAATGGCCACCTTCTACCAAAAGTGTCATTAGACCATTTGCCATACTTATAGTATTCACATACCAAATATGAACAAAATCGCTCCACCACTTTTTGAGTTATAGTAAAATACATTAAAATGGCGGCCATTTTGAAAAATGTCCGCCTTCTACCAAAAGTGTCATTAGACAGTGTGCCATGCTTACAGTATTCACATACCAAATATGAACAAAATCGCTTCACTACTTTCCGAATTATTATAAAATACATTAAAATGGCGGCCATTTTTCAAAATTTTTTTCAAAATGGCCACTTTCTACTAAAAGTGTCATAAGATAGTGTGTCATGCTTTTAGTATTCACATACCAAATATGAACAAAATCGCTCCACTACTTTTCGAGTTACAGTAAAATACGTTAAAATGGCGGCCATTTTGAAAAATGGCCGCCTTCTACCAAAAGTGTCATTAGACAGTGTGCCATCCTTATAGTATTCACATACCAAATATGAACAAAATCGCTTCACTACTTTTCGATTTATAGTAAAATAGGTTAAAATGGCGGCCATTTTCAAAATGGTGGCCATTTTTTAAAATGGCCACTTTCTACGAAAAGTGTCTTTAGACAGTGTGCAATGTTTATAGTATTCACATACCAAATATGAACAAAATCGCTCCACTACTTTTCAAGTTACAGCAAAAATCGTAAAATAACGAGTAAAGGCCGCCATTTTTCAAGATGGCTGCCATGTGCTTCTTTAATATCTACATTTCTAGCTTTATTAATGTCCTATATAATTTTTTTACATCTAAAACATAATGCTATTACAGTTTTACATATTGCACCTAAATTACTGTAAATTCGGCACTAAAATGGCCGCCATTTTGAAATGAGCGGCCATTTTGAAAATCGGCTTTCGAGCAGAACTTCTACTCCCATAGGGTATATGTGTACAAAATATGAACAAAATCCGGCCAACGGTATTTGAGTTATTGCCCGGACGGACGTACGTACGTACGGAGGCGTTCCCTATATCCCTCCAAACTTCGTTCGATGGGATAATTATTTATACACAATGCAATCTGACAACAGTGCATAAGGCATGTTTAATGGCTGAGTGGAATGATAGTTGGATTGTCAGACGATGAACATTCTTGAGACTTTGAAATCTCTTAGCTTTGAAATATACAAATGATTCTTTTAGATGTGTATTTTATTTTCATCATTGAACAATGGTTACATTATCAAAAGATGCTAATTAAATGCATTAACTGTATATAATATCTAACGAAAATTCCATTTCTATATAAATTAATGAAAGAATGTCTGTCTTACTTTTGCTCCATGGAAGAAGAGATCTACGTCGCTTGTTATCATCCACTCCTTCAGCATCAGACGCAGAATGACTCTTCTTTAACTTGAACATTTAAAAAAATAAACAATCTTGGCAACTACATTTGTTCTTACTCAAGTTTTTCGCAAAATAAGCAGTTAGCTTATGACTTGTGTAACCAAGACTTAAAATTATGTTTAGATGATGTAACTTATTACTCCATAATACAACACAAAACATTCCCAAAAATACTCAAAATACATTCATTTGTACCTCTTTGCCCTGATTTTGATCATTTTTCTGGGGACTACCAGGAAAGGGAAGTTCTTTCATCTCCATCTCTGCAATGATGCAATCTTTGTAGAGAGCACTCTTCAAGAACCGTGAGTAGCTGTCTCTCTTCATCAGAGTGAATATCTGAAAATGAAGATGGAATCAACAGGTACCAACAGGTGTAAAAACTTAACATTTCTTACTTTTCAATGATGTTTTCCACAAGAACCATACAAAAGCATATGGCTTAAAGTGTTATCTTACACAAATATTAAATTAGTAAAATAAAAAAATATTAGTAAAATACATATGACCAAATCTATACTTTATATAAGCACGCCTGGTGATCGTACAAAATGGATGGATGGGGGGAGTAGGCGAAGAAAACTAAAAGAGAAAATTTACAACTGAATTGCCAAATGAATAGGGGCAGTGCATGGCAAAATATGTAAGATCTTCTAGAATTTTTTTTTAACTGATACGCTTCTAAGATATGAGATCTGTTAAAAAGGCGCACCATCACCAATGTGCAAAAGTTAATGTTTTTGCTATAAATCAGGCAACAATGGTCTACACGACCTGAAATAAATAGGTATAAGGGACATTACTATCACAACACTAATGAAATTACTGACTTTTTAAAGTTAGTTTCCATGCGTTATACAAAAAATAATCAAATTAAATTAATTTTGGATGGAGGGGGGAGCTATATGTCTTTACGATGGAACAAATTCACAAGAACTTGTGTATTTGAAAAAACTAAACTTGGTACCCCAGTAAGAAACTGGATATTATATCTCTGGAGAATGAAAAATGGGAAAATTTAAAGTTATAAGAATAAATTAAATTAGCATGTCTTATCATGTCTAATATACACGTTACTCACCCCCTCCATCCACTCCCCAATTCTGCTATTATTTTTGCAGATTTTTCAAAATGTTTTAATTGTTAGGAAATTGACTTCACTTTTGAAGCATTAAAGAAATTCAATTTTGGTACTAGTTTTATCAAGTGGATTAAAACTTTGTATAATGGATTCCAAAGCTGTGTAGCTAATAATTAGAGGTTATGTCACTATCGTGGCCGAGGTCGAGATAGTGCCCGAGGTCTCAGTGATATATGGCCCGACCTTGGGAGGGACATTGATCTCTGAGAACCGAGGGCATATATGCCACTATAGTGACATAAACGATTTATAACATACCTATGATGATGTAGACTGGTCAGAGTACCGTTTTCTTATAGAATTGACAAACAAATGGTTTGAAAATGATTGAAATGAGTTTAGAAAAATTGCTTTATTTTTTTGTAACGAATGGAAACTAACTTTAAAAAGTGAGCATTGTCATTAGTATTGTGATAATAACGTCCCTTATACCTATTTTATTACAGGTCGTGTAGACCATTGTTGCCTGATTTATAGCATTGACTTTTGCACGTTGGTGATGATGCGCCTTTTTTTAATAGATCTCATACCTTAGAAAGGTAATAATAATATACATAATTTAGGAATCTTTATACATGTGTGCTATTGCCCCGAACCGGTCCGTCTTCTCGCTGCAAGCAGGAGGAAATTCTTTGTCACAAAGTTTGGCATTTTTTATAAAATCAAACGTGCGTCATTGAAACTCACAAGATGTAAATAGCATGTCATTTACATCATATCTTGATGGGGAAAAATATATCTTATATGTTAGAAGTACTAAATAAAAGTTATCGTGAAAATGAGACAGCAGAGAAAAGAGCATAGATGAGCATTTAGAGAGTTTTGGTCCGTTTAAAAATCTGTAAAAAATTGGGGTACTTAAAAGCATCGGGAGACATCATATATTTCAAATTAGACACGAGGAAGTCAATATTGAGCAAGTTATGGCTGTTTTAAATTCAAATAAAACCGTTAACCCTTACCGGTCCAGCTTTTGACCTGTACCGGTCAATTTTCGTTAGCTGCGTATACCAAGGGTGGATATCTGGGTATGAAAATAGGTGATAACATGATGATTGGCAATTTAGAATTTTAACGGATTACCATATACATGTAGTAAATTGGATTAACCTCCCGAAGAGATCAACATGTCATGCTACCACTAATTAATTTGATAATCAGTAAATTAGGATTTCATAAGATTAGCATTCATCAAATTGTATTAACCTCCTCTAGAGATTGACATGTCATTCTACTACTAATTAATACCCCTTGTTGTTTGTTGACTTGATAAGTAAGATTAAGAATGTCGCCAGGTTAAAGTGTCTCACATATTCGATCAAAATTTGCCATGCAAACATGTTAGTCTACTTTATTGGCCCCCCTTGCTGTAACAAGGAACCCAAAACACATTAAAACGTAAACATAAACCAATTAGTCACTTCACTATGAAAGTGGGGGGTGTCTGTGTGCATGGACTAACACAATATCAGTGGTCATTTACTGTATCAACTTAGTAACTCTTGCATATCGTGCTCACTCAAGTATTGAATAATTTTTTATGATCTAAATGTTTGTGGTTTATAAAAAATGTAATATATTTTTGTTAGAAATACATTAATTAATATATTCATTGAAACAGCACTAGAATGCGGGAAGAAAGAGCAATGGTGACAAAATGCAGACAGAATTTTCCGTAAGGGTTTCAAACATTTCTGGACACAATCATACATGTACTTCATGTGTACTGTTATTTTAGTGCTGTATTTATAGATATAATTTCACGTATTAAAATATTTATAGATATAATTTCACGTATTAAAATCATATTTTCCAGCAATGACTTGAAATCCGGAACCACACCCATATCACATTTTCTTCAATAACTCCAAACATGTGTAAACATTGACCATGTGCATCACACTACCCTACCACGTGACCACGTTTAAAAGGGAAACAGGGTACAGCTTAGTTGCAAATGGAGGACGTGGGTTTAATTCCATATTTCTGAACGTAAAATACATTTTACATATATTTCTAGTGTTCTACCAGACATAGAATTGATTCATCAAGGAGTGTGTAGAATATTGTTGGCAAAAAACCACTATAGGCAAAGATAGATAATAGTGGGCGCAGTGAAGCAAAACCAAATGCAATACACAATACATTTCAGTAAATCTATCAACGTACAGGGAGCATGTAAGTGTCCCTTCGAAAATGTTACATTGATATGTAACAAAAAAAACAGTTAACTGTTGTTTAAACTGCGTGTCATCGTGTTATAGGTGGATACGTTTTCTAGTATGTTAGTCAACTGTATTTTTGTGAATTTGAACAAAACATTTTGAATGGCCGGGTTTTTAGGACGGTAGTGAATTAGACCATTCAAGGGGTTCTATAGAAAGATTCTTCATATGTAGTTCAGGCAATTTTAATTATTCTGAGTAGCAAATAGTCATTAATACTGATAGCGGATAGTAATTTATCATTAACGTGTTGATATTTAATTTCGTTATTTTATTTCAATTTGATACCCTAGTAACACGTATAATCTAGCATTCTTGTTAATTTAATGACTAAAATGCATACGACTTGAAAGCCCGTGTCTAAATCTACAAAATAATGTTTACTTTATTTGGATTAAATAACAATTGATGACACCTCAAAGCATCAACAGGCGGCCTTTTTAGCATTACTTTCACTGTTTGCAACGTAAATGTACATGAGGTCGGGACATAGTATGTCTGTATAATCAGCTTACTTTCTCGCTCCCTGTACTATTGAACAATTTACATTCCTTGTACCCTGTATTGATCAACTTTTGCAGCTGTGTACCGTGTACTATGACATATCAAATATTTAAAAATTTAAAACGATATTATTTACATTATTTCTTCAACCATCATATAACTTGGAACATGGACTTCACTATTGCACCACTGAAGTGTAGCGAATAGCAATATTGACTCACTCCGAGCACCAAACGTATTAACCTTTTGACTAAGCAGTCGATATACTCAAAAGCGACATGTTTGAAAGCCAAAAGATTCGCGCATGCGCGATCGAGGTAGGGTAGTGTGTGTGCATATAAATTCAGATTTCACGAGCTCTTTCCTATTTGAGTACCTCATACACCCCTGCATGGATTTGAGTTGGATTCGCCTTTTATACGTGAGCCGATACACATCGCAAACGCTGATTGGATAAAGATTGCGAGAATCTTTAAAAATAAATGAATTATAAGCAGGAGGAACTAGTCTTCAAAACTTAATTGCCAAATCTTTATGCCTGACACTGACAGAATGAGGAGGAGTAAGAACGTCAGAAAGCATTCCTTTAAAATATTAGAAAAGTAGGTCTTAATATGTGAAGATGATGATGGCAGATGACAATCAGATTGAAAATCTGAAATCCCCTCATATCATGACTGGTATTAGGCTGTGCACCTGCACCTAAAGTATTTTCCATATTAACAGTTGTGACGTGATTTGCTATATTTAAATACCATTCCGGTTGGCAGAGACCCGGTATTTAAAAATATTTAGAAAAGTAGCTAAAATATATTATTTTCCGGTGAAACTTATACACAAAGTTGTTAAGATGTTGATCTTTATTATCTGAAAGTTTCGTGTAATCATATTAGAAAATAGCAAAGTTAAAGCGAGGCGTCCAAGACTTTTGGATCACCCCTCGTACACATGTTAATTCAAATGTAAGTTTAAGGTTTTATGACAGTAAATTGAAGCATTATAGATTTTTGGATAAACATGCAAGTTCTAAAGACATATATTCAATCTTGTTGGAACATATAGCAACTAAAATATATTTGGAATCATTTTGGATTAATCTTTGTGAAATTCAAAATAGTCAAATGCTGTTTCAACAGACTTAGATACTTTTAAAGCAATCCAAAAATAAATAAAAAGTGGCCAATTTTAAATACAAAGGATAGGTATCGATATGGAGAACTGAATTCAACAATGTTTTTCTCTTAAACCAATCATTGAAAACATTCTGTAAAAAACATGGTATTTTATGTAATGTTGACTGATTAACAACAATTTAATCCGAAAATTATTTAGAAATATTTGATATAACTGTTTTTGTTAACATTTTTTGGTTTTTTAGTGCAATTGTTTTTGCTCCTTTCTACCAATTCTTGAGAATGAAATAAAATGTCTTTCCGAACCTTGTTGGAACAAAATACCATATACAACATGTTTTTGGACCTCTCAATATTAAAGTTATACAAAGGAATTTTTGGTTCATTTTAAAAAAGTATTCAAAAAATTAAAACAAAATCCCCCCAAAATAGATAAAAATCAAAAAAAACTTTTATTTCATTAACAAGATACTTTTTTAAAATGAACCAAAATTTCCTTTGTAAAATTACAATATTGAGAGACCTAAACATGTTGTGTTTATGTCGTTTTGTTCCAATGAGGTTCGGAAAGATGTTTCATTTCACTCTGGAAACATGATACCAAGAACAAAACAAGTGTTTGATGTGCTTTTTAAAACAATATAGATGAAAGTGTGTATATCTATTTCAAATTATATTGTTACCATTCAAAAGATGGCCATTCAATTGACAATTTGTAAGATTTTCAAAAATTTTTGATGACTGGTTTAAGAGAAACGTGTGTTCAAAAAGTTCGCCATATCGATACCCAATCTTTTGATATTACATTTTACCATGCAACCAATTACTTCTAAGATGGAAAATAAATGTTAACGACAAGTGTGATATTTGCAGACAAGTAGAAGACTATAAACATTTGTTCTTTCAATGTCATAGAGTACTTAATGTAATAGACCAACTTGAAAATTATATTTTAGATCATTTTAAAATTGAATTAAGCTTGAAAAAATATAAAACTCTTGTCTTTTGCTATAAGGTACAAGACACTAACTATACTTATTTTAATGAATGGTTAAACAACGTATGGTACATTATGTTTGTAAACTATTGTAATAATGTTCAGGAATTAGAATTGTATCATTTTTCACAAATATTGTAGTATTGTAAAATGACCTGATGTATACAAAGTTATAAAATGAGAAATATATATATGATTTAAAAAGAAAAAAAAACAAAAAAAAGTTCAAAAAATTACTAGAAGACCTAACATATTTTGCCATGCACTGCGCCTATTCATTTGGCAATTCAGTTGTTAATTTTCTCTTGAAAAAATAAATCTTCTAAATTTGTTAGAGTTTTCTTGTGGAAATCGCCTACTCCCCCTCCATCCATTTTGTACGATCACCGGGTGTGATAAGGTTTACATTCTTTTTCTTGGCACAAAATGATACTTATGTTATAGTTTACCTGTTTCTGAGCCATATCAAACATGTCAATAGTCGGAGCATCTAGTTTATCCTCAGCAAACTTTCTTGCCTCACTATCAATATTTACAGGCTCAATGGCCTTCTTGGAGAGATGTTTCGTAAAGATCTCCCTTGCTCTTGAGTTTCTCTGGAAATAGTATGGACACTTTGAGAGATTACTAATTCAACTAAAGTTTTTTTTACTATATAAAATATATTTTTTCAAAATGATTTTTAGGAGGTAACTTAAAATCCATCAAAAGGAAGAACTTACGTCTTGATGCATTTCTACATTCACAACCTCATGTCTGGTTAATGGCATCATTGGACTTCAACAAGAAAACTTACCATATGAATGTCTTCAATTTCTTTGTATTTGTGACAGGTGGTCCAGAACAAAATATTTTCTTCACTAAACTCCTTCTTCAGAAACTCCTAGAAAAACACAGTAAAAGATCTTATTGAACACAATTACAGTGAGCATTTTCTGTTGAAATTCAAAGCAAACATGAATCAAACACAGGTTTTGCTGTCCACATTTAGATAGGAAACAAGATTTTCAAAAATATGTCAATAACGCAGATGCGAGTAGGTAGTTTCCAGTTTCACCACCAGGTGGCTCGTTCGGGTCAGATAGCATGGCGGGTATAGCAGAAAGTTCCCTTTAAATTAAATCACATTTGTTTTAGTGGTTCAATTTTCATAGTACCCTTATGTATCTAATAGTTATGCAAATTAAAATATGCCCAGTAAAAGAAAATGTTATCTGTCCAATACAAGAAAAGATATTCCAATTTTTGTGATTTTGTAGCATTGGGTCTATGGGGAATCAACCCGAGCGAGGAGTCACACTTTCAAAAAAAATTAATTTTCAAAGTTGATAAACAATTTTCGAAATCATATTTCTAGATGTACTTTTACATGTAGATTTCAAATATGACATCACTTTGACTGAATTTTGAATATTAAATAACGTAAATCAAGTTTATTTCTACTCGCATCTAGTCTATTGATGCAGACTTTCCATGCAAAGATGATGATGCATGACAGATATCGTCAACATAAGTAGATTTAAGGTGAGCTAAGAAGGATAACTGAGTCCAGTTTGCCAATGACTTTGATAACAATCACAAAGCCAGGAAATGTATTTTACTCTATCTGACTTAACATACACATAAACTCTACATTGGACAGTGTTTTATACTTTTCCAACAATTCAAGTAATAATTGCCTTACTGTAAATGTGGCTCTGCCAGCAGGATCTTCCAAACATTTCTCAAAACTGACTGCCCAGCTTGCAACACGTCCAACTTGGGCTCCAAACATTTCTCCCCTCTTGCTTGCAATACTAGCTACACTGTTGGCAGCAAGCATTTTTCCAGGGGTGTTTGGTAAAGCTCCTGAGTCTGATACTGCTAGTGACTGGAAAGAATGACAAAAAATATCTAGAAAAAATATCTAGTTGTATTCCATACCTACTAAGGTTCTAGGTAAATAATGAGCGGGAATATATACTGTATCTAGGGATCTATCACTGAGGAGTGGGGTGGGATGGATATAGCCTGTATTTAGGGTGAATTCCATTAATTCACTTACCGCTATCGATTGAGCCATTTCTGTGCACAATGCTGTTACAGACGTGTCTTCGGAATATTTAGGACTATAAGTACGTTCATAACCTTCTAGTGATAAGTTTAAAGCTATAATGAACGTCAAATCTGACTGAAGCATATCGGATACTATTTGACACTCGCAGTGCATCATGGGAGCTTCCGATTCAGCCAGGAAAACCTGGCCCAGAAAGATTGGAGTGGATGTTTTATCATTGATATTAGGGCATATATGTCAATTTACCCACGATTTTGTCATTTGAGACATCTCCTGGGAGACACACTGTGCGTTTATGTCATCACTTATCCATTTTAAAACTATTCCTTTATTTATCAATCACCAGATGTGACCTTATTTCATAAACAATTTAAATATTCAATGAATGCAGGATGAATTTCAGACTAGTTTTCTATACATGCCGAAAAAGATCAAGATCGAAACCATTCCTTATAATGGATGCCCCACATAGTAGTTGAGCATATCTGGAATAAATGAATGATTAAAACGTCTCTCACCTCTACTGAGTTGTGGACTCCTGGTTTACTGTGAGCAAGGTTGTCTGACTGGAACAGAGGTCCCTCTGTAGACTGAAATGCAATGATTAATCTAAACTGAAACAAAACATGATTTGATAGTTTGTCTCTTTTAGGGTGGCTCAAAAGGAGCTTTTTTCAGAAAATTTTACGTTCCGTGGTATTTTGGTGTAGAGATTTAGGTAAAAAGTGAGAATTTTTTTCAGATTTTTCTGATAAAATTTAGGGGTCCCCAACTGACCCTAAACTTTGCGTTTTTTGACGAAAATGTACCAAAATGCATAACACTATCACATACAAGTAAGTCATATAAATCAATTTTAAGTTCCCCAACAGTACTAAATATTGAAGAAAATAAACAAATCAAGGTCTATTGACAAGAATTGCAGTGATCCATGGATTCACTCTTCATATGGGGACATGCATAAAAGGTGCAAAAGATTGACAAATTTGGCAAAATGTGTTATACTCCACTTTCATTTACATTTTAGTCTTACAAAGCATTTATTAAATACAAAACTGTACTGTACACAGGATGTTCAGGAAAAAATGATAACAAGGCATTAGCATGCAAAATGTCACTACCTGCCATTTGTTACAGCAGTGTGAGAAAATTTGGGCCTCTTAAACCCAAAATTTTGAAAATTTGAGGCACATTTCTTCAGAATTTGACCTTAAATTAAAAAAAATGAGGCCTTAAATGGCCCAGTAATGCCCAAAAAGGCCCACTTATTAGAACCTATTTTGGGCCCAATTTTTTCTAGCCCCGTGACCCAAGGGGGGTGCTTAATAAAAGCATGCAAGGGAGTCCAGCACTTAAACGTTTGGTAAGTTATCTTTTCTTAGATTAGCAACATGGTCAATATGGATTAGTGTGACTGTGTCCTAGGCTGTGACATCCTGTTGAGCTCAGAGCAGCCGATCAGGGTCAGTAGGAGCTTGTTTTTCACAACCTGAACGTGAACGGAAAATATTTAACCGATGCATTTGTAGGGGCGATTGGTCATATGTATAGGTTGGCTTTTCGAATTTATATGCAAGCTGAACTGCCTATTAACTACAAAAAAAGATCCCTGTAGAAATCCCTGGTGTTTGTGTATCTGGCATCTGTACCCCGATGTGCAGATGGGAGATGAAGCCATGTAGCATCAGTTTCCAGGAGATCATAGATTAGCCTGGAGTGCTTGGTGATACCACAGCCAGTGGTGGTTTATCCTGCACCAGGAAGATAGCCAATGGGTCAAATTTGTAGTGTAAAATCTGTATTATTATTACACTCTACTTGACGACCATGTTACCACCTCAAGTTGTTTGAAATAGATTTGGCAATGCAGCGATACCTTTTGAATTATGAAGCACGAAGGTGGCATTCCATACATTTTTACTCTATAGATATAGTTGCATATGCTGTTTTGTGCAATTTCCAAGGTTTCTAAAATCCTAACTAATACAGCTAGAACCATGATACTACAACAACCTTACAATCATGTTACCACCTCATGTTGTATGAAATAACTCTGGCAATGGATCTATACTTTTTGAGATAACGGTTTGGCTGGAAACCTGTAGACAAGTCTTGAAAGTGAAGATTTTAGGACGAAAAATCCAAAATGGCCACCTTAAAATTTAACCAGAATGCCCAAAAACTAATCAGTTCTTGACGTTGATATGTAGAAACATCCCTGAAAATTTCAGATGAATCCCTCAATAGGTTTGGCTGGAAACCTGTAGACAAGTCTTGAAAGTAAAGATTTTAGGACGGAAAATCCAAAATGGCCACCTTAAAATTTACTCATAATGCCCAAAAACTAATCAGTTCTTGACGTTGATATGTAGAAACATCCCTGAAAATTTCAGATGAATCCCTCCAATGGTTTGGCTGAAAACCTGTAGACAAGTCTTGAAAGTGAAGATTTTAGGACGGAAAATCCAAAATGGCCACCTTAAAATTCACCCAGAATGCCCCAAAACTAATCAGTTCTTGACGTTGATATGTAGAAACATCCCTGAAAATTTCAGATGAATCCCTCCAATGGTTTGGCTGGAAACCTGTAGACAAGTCTTGAAAGTGAAGATTTAAGGACGGAAAATCCAAAATGGCCACCTTAAGATTTACCCAGAATGCCCAAAAACTAATCAGTTCTTGACGTTGATATGTAGAAACATCCCTGAAAATTTCAGATGAATCCCTCAAATGGTTTGGCTGGAAACCTGTAGACAAGTCTTGAAAGTGAAGATTTTAGGACGGAAAATCCAAAATGGCCACCTTAAGATTTACCCAGAATGCCCAAAAACTAATCAGTTCTTGATGTTGATATGAAGAAACATCCCTGAAAATTTCAGATGAATCCCTCAAATTGTTTGGCTGGAAACCTGTAGACAAGCTGAAAAGTGAGACGCCGCCCGCCCGCCGCCCGCTTGCCCGTCAAGCTGACTACAATATTGTAGTACCTTTTGTTAGGTACGATAAAAAAACAAAATATAACTTTAGATCGATATATAACAGTCTATACTTAGTGGAAATATTGAAGATAATCGCGGAAAACAATTCCTAGCTTCTTTCACCTCGAGGGGCTCTGCTGGGGAGTTTTTCAATCACTCAACATAGTTAGATTCTTGCTTTATTTTAGCGATATTTACCGTATTCTCTCCAATAACGATACTTATCCTATGCCAAGTAGAGTTTTAGGGAGATAAGTTGGTAAGATATATCCCGTATCCTGATTTTGAGGTTTCAATATCCTGAACCTCCATATCTCCCGCCATATCTCCCGCTCCAGGGCATATCTTCCCGCTTGGAAAAAAAATTGAAAAAATAAGATTTTTTTTTTAAAAAAAATGTGAAAAAATTTTGAAAAAAGAAAAAATTGAAAAAAGACAAAATAGAATTTTTTTCAAAAAATTAGAAAAATGTAAAAAAATTGAAAGAAAATTAGAAAACTCTACTTAGGATAAAGCAGTTATGTACGGTCGGTTTGGATATTGGGTTCATCCCTCGTGAGATATGCACATCTACCTTCGGTCCCTACGGTCCCTCAGGTAGATATGCATATCTCCCTCTGGATAAACCCCATATCCAAAACCTCCCAGTACATAACCCTTATTATTCCATAGTTAGCATGATATTCATAGGATAACATGTGAAAATAAAAACGGTATTTTTGTAATCAGTGGTAAAATATGATATTTTTGACAAACTTTCACTTAACCATAGCATACGATTTTTTAGCCATGACATACGACGTCGTATGCGATGGTTTATGGATTTTTGCTACTTCAGACTCAAAACGAGGCTAAGTGTCAACATCGCCGGATCGTTTGGAAAATTCGAATTAAATGACTTAATTTCCGACGATTCTGATGATGACTTTAACTATGGAATAAAAAGAACATCCTATGATTTATGAGTGATATGATTTTAATCCACTCATGGTTATTGATATCTGCACTCTCTCGCTACGCTCGCTCGTGCAGATATCATATCCATTCGTGGATAAAAATCATATCACTCATAAATCATAGGATATCCTCTATTATCATTATTGTAAATATATGCTGTCACTTTCTTTGCAAATAAGGCATTTTTGGCAAGAAAAATTCCCATAAATGAAATTTCCGGGGATTTTTGACTTCTCTCATATATGGACACTCTTTGTAATGGTTTACAATGGGAATTTCAATTTCAAAATCGCCGTGGGCACTTATTACGGCGAATATGGTATTTATCTATAATTTGATTCTACATATATCAAGGATATTAACGACATTGCATTTTTTAAAAAATGTTAAGTGACCCCAGGGGTGTCTATGGCCATTCTTTCTTTCTGGTCAGCATCTAAATGGCAAATACTGCACAATTTTTTAAATCCAAGTATAAAAGTTTATGAAAATGAAACATCTATAAGCCTCACCTGGTTATTAGAGAATGAACTGCTCCTTATGATAGATTTCATGTGTGAATTGTCAAGGGAAGACTCTTCAAACTTGTTCACCATCTTTCTCACAGTTGCATCATCTTTGCCATTTTTTGTTGTAGTTGCTCGGACTTCCCACACATCTGGTTTCTTATTTTTTGGAATTATTGGAGGTTTATTTTGGTCTCCACTGTGCGATCTCCCTTGTGCTCTCATACTAGAGTCAGTTATGGCTCTAGCACTAAGTTTATGTATTCTCTGGGGGTCACCTATATTGGCATAATCAGCTGGGTCTGGATTCACCTGCCTGCCTGGGTGAAGTCTGGATGTTGAGTTAGAACCCTTAAGGTGTCTTATGCCTCTGAGATTATTGTCTCTGTCTCCCCTTGGGAAGTTATCTATTGAATGCGAGGACTCTGCATCACTGCTACAGTAACCAGTTTGGGATTGCTGCTTTTGGCGACTCTGAAGAATTTTCTGCATACTTTTTCGAATGTTTTCTGCATCTGTTTGTGAATTTAGTAGCTTACTGTTGGGGGATAAAGTTGGCCTGGCTCGGATGTTTAAAAAGTCTTGCTCTTTGTTTTGACTTAATGGCTGGTCAGGAGGTGGAGTATAATTTCCCTGTGGGTGATTTGCATCACCTGAGAGGTCTACAACACATACCCTGGCCTGGTCTGTGGGTGGAGCATCATCCCTAGCAAAACCTAGTCCACTATCACTATTACTACTATTGCTGAGACTACGTTGGGCAGCTAGATTCCCTACCTCCTGGGCTCGGGCTAACTCAGCTTCCACTATACCCCCTGGATGGTCCTGATAAAGAGCAGCGATACATTGCAATATAGGGGAAGGATTGCGTGGAAACTCTTGGCACTGATTACTATCTACATCCATGGTACATTTAATTCTGAATGATTTGGCTTTTGAGGTATGTACACTGTGAGAGGTTAGCTCTGGTTCAACCATGAACACATGACAGGAATTACTTGGCATTCCATCTTCCTGGTGACGGACATCCGGCTGAGTTACAAGCCCAAAGAATCGTTTATCATCAGGACACAGTCCGCTGAATGCTAGTCTTTCTGCAGGATAACATGCAATGTCATTTCTCCTGTTATCCACGAGTTTCACATATGAGTTGTAAACTTCCATAAGCACCAACGTGTGTATTTTTTGCTCTACTCGCAAACGTTTGATTGCACTGCGGATTGACTGCATACAGGGTTTAGGTAGACTAGCATCACATGGCATCTCTACAGAGCCTATATAACCTACAACTGCTCTGAGGTTTGCCTCTGTAGGAGGCTGGTTTGGGTCATAGATAGGCTGTTCACCAGCCCCTAGGTGTGGCTGGATGGATGGCGATAAAATATTCGATAGGTCCCGAGGGGTAAATCGAACCTGGGGTCTAGCATGACCTGCATCTTCCATGGCAAAATGTTCATGTTGGTATTTACGATCCGGATGGATTTGTTTGGAGTTTGGATCTATATCCCTGAGTGCATTACTTCTATGGCGATCAGTTGTCCCTATATGACCCTTTAAATGCCCGTTACTTCCTATATGTCCCTTTAATGGCCCACTATGTCCAACCTGAGCCTTTAAGGAACCGCTGGGGTGTTTGTTTCTATTGCAATGATATTTTTCCTGATCATTGGTATCATACCAGTCATATCTCAGTGGGCCATCATTATGTTTCCCAACACTATTGTGTCTAATCTTAGGACAAGCTCCATATTTATTTTGAGCATAATCATTCACATTTTGTTCAGATATAAATATCCCACCTGCATGAAGATCAGCAAGCACCTTTTCGGCCCTGTTGATTCCAGTAGGTCTTGGGGGCCTTACACGAGTGGGATGCTTTGTCTTAGGTTTGTTGTGAAAGTCTTCTTCTGATGAGTCTGAACCATTAATATTTTCAGCAATTTGAAGTTGAAGTAGTCCAACTGATGAGCCAATAATTCTCACAACGTCATCATGATCCGCTTGGCTGACATCCATGCTGTTTACAGCCATAAGGAAGTCTCCCGCTTTAAGGCCCATCCTGTCTGCTGGGCTCCCAGCCACTATACTGCTCAGTATGCATGGCTGCTGGCCTGATATAGTGAACCCATAGCCGCTACTCCCCCTACTCAGGTCAACCACCCGTAATCCGGGAGTAGGACGCTTTTTACGTCGTCGTCCAGCCTGCATCTTATCTGCAATATAGAATACAGCAAAGTTAGTAAATGACAAAATTACAAGATCATTTTCAGCAACTCAGCAATACTGGGGAGATCACTGAGAGAAAAACTAAGTATCAGAATTGGAAAATAAATAAAATGTACACTTATTTCTATTCACATTTAACATGCAAAATTTTATATCCTAAAACAAAATAAAAGTAAAAATTACAATTCTCACTTATACTTTGATATAGAGAATAACAGAAATTTTTGGTGATGCCCTAAATAGTACACCACACTATAAAATCAAATAATTGATATTAGTTGTACTTTGCATATCATAAACAGTGTTCTCCACATGATTTTTTCTCAAATGGGTGCACAACTCCAAATTTCACAATTGGACAGAAATTGGTCAAAATATGCCCATTTTTCTCATTTTCAAGTAGGTGCAAATGGATTGTCAGGTGGGTGCAAGCCTGTTTTTAAAATCTCAGGTGGGTGCTGCACCAACTTGCTTACCTTCATTCAATATGAAAACTAAGTAATGCTTTACTCTATGGTAATAGTAATGTTACTTTATCATGTAATTGAATCCTTGCATATGGTTGGCATTTCAACCTTAGTAACTTACTTGAACTAATGACCATTTTACATACCATGTCGAGGTTACACTGATGATTTCATAAGAGCAAACATGAAATTAGCCTTGCCCAGGTTGGTATTTTTTAACTTATCTGATCTTGAATTATTACTGCCTTGTACAATCTTATGCATCACCGCTGATATTATGATAAGTTATTCAGCTGTTTCGAGATTTCCATAATTCCTACGCTGTCAGGGTATCGCGAAACTGTATTGATAAGTAAGATCGCATGAACACACTTCAGGCTGATTGACCAATCAAAACGTTATCAGGTTCACCTGCATAAACAAAGCAAAAACAATGCAAAAAGACCTACATGTAGTCCATATAGTCGTCGATCTGATTCAGAGATTGATCGAAATCTCAGCCTAAATCTAGCTATCATGTTAGATCATTTCAGCAAACTTTTCAATGTTTCTTGTTGAAATCTTCTCACCTCTTGGTATCCGATTGATGTTCCAGCATCCACTAAACTCTGATTTATATTTATCTAGTAAAATATATGTATCTTCATTATGAATTGTGCAAGATTTGCTTGTGAAAAGTATATTTGTTTTGACTGTGCATAATAATGAGCTAATGCTGCAGGGCGGTGGTTGATTGGCTAAATTTAAAGATATAAACATTTGGTCAGTAAACCATGTAGCTTTCTCAGTGGTACAAGGCGGTCATAAGAAATAGAAATCAAGATAAGTAAAAGATACTGAATTGGGCAAGGCTTAACCAGGGTTCGAACTTAATTTTTTAGACTGGTAGTGAAAAAAGTTACCTGACATTTTTTCTAGGTAACTAAATTCCAAAGTAAGGTAGTTGTTTTTACCTGTTGAGAAAAATTTGATAAACACAGTTTTCCTTGACACTAAAAACAAATCTATTGATCTGGTGATCTCAAGTTTATTATAAGAAGGCCCCTGCAGGGGGGCCTCCTATTAATTTTATAAATATTACTATCATTTTTTATTCTTCCTAAACCCCTTTCTCCTACTTCCAACTACCTTTCAACCATCTCCTACATGCACCTTCCAGGGACCTTGGCTGAACTTGGCGGGAAAGAACTTTTTTATCTAGGTCAAGGTCAAAATCAAGGTCAAATCAAACATTTTTTTCCAGTTTCTCAAATTCTGACACTACACAAGTTTTGACCAGATTTTGAGATATTGAGGGTAAAAAAAAGGTCAAAAAAGATCTTTTTTCAACTTGCTTCAAATTGACCAAGTTTTTTATTAAAACTCATCTACAAGTTGTCAAGATTCCAAATCTGACCTTACTTTTGTCCTTTGGTTGACCTTCAGTGACCTCTGAAAAGCCAAAAAAGTTGATTTTTCGAATCAATTTTCTGGATTCAAATTTAGGTGCATTTAATCACATAAGACCTTAAAGATGTTAATTTAAGAGCAAAAAAGGCTCCAAAACTTAATAAAATATGTAGTTCGGATGTTCATTTATGTCTGTAGATTATATTTTATACCACAAACACTTATAAATACCTGAAATTTGCAATAAAAGTGCCCAAAAATTGTTGTTTCGAAATTCCCCATTTTTCCTGTATCGCGCTAGTCACGTGACCATTACGCGTAGCAGGCAATGTAGAGTATTACAGATATTTATACAGTACATATTTCAACATGTTCAATATGGCAAACATCAGCGATTCTGATTCCCGGGTTCTGGGAAATGGCTATATAAATCGGCGAGAGGGTGTAATTTGACTGAGGACAATTTAAGGAGGGGAAATGTGTCCAAGTATGCCAGTAAGAGAGCATATGGGGACTTTAGACAAGTACTATGACACTGACAGAGAATCAACAAAAAACGTGAGTTCTGGAATGACCCGTTGCCACTGACTGAGGATCCCAGCGATCCTTTATCCTACTCAGTTTGAATTTAGACGCAGAAAACAGGTTATAAAAACAGGTTTTTTTCAAAGTTATCAAATTTAGAAAATATGGATCTTGTTTTTGAGTGGCTTAACAAGCATTTAGATACAAGACTTTGCGCAGACGTGCAGTAAATTGGCAATTGCAAATTGCAAAATCAGATCGTCAAATTAATCGCTTCGTTTTTAAACATATGCTTCATATCTTCATCCAAAACTTTAGGATTTGATAGAGATAAGTTATATTTTTATTATAAAATATGTTAGGTCATCTAGTATTTTTTTTTGAACTGATACCCTTCTAAGATACGAGATCTATTAAAAAAGGCGCATCATCACCAACGTGCAAAAGTCAATGTTTTTGCTATAAATCAGGCAACAATGGTCTACACGACCTGTAATAAATAGGTATAAGGGACATTATTATCACAATACTTATGACATTGCTCACTTTTTAAAGTTAGTTTCCACGCGTTATACAAAAAATAATCGAAAAAAATTAATTTGGGATGGAGGGGGGGATCGGATGGAGGGGGGGATCATGTGTATATAAGACATGATAAGACATGCTACTTGAATTTATTCTTATGACTGCAAATTTTCCCATTTTTCATTCTCCTGAGATATAATATCCAGTTTCTAAATGGGGTACTGAGTTTAGTTTTTTTCAAATACACGAGTTCTTGTGAATTTGTTCTATCGTAAAGATATATAAATCCCCCCTCCATCCGATCCCCCCCTCCATCCCAAATTAATTTATTTCGATTATTTTTTGTGTAACGCATGGAAACTAAGTTTAAAAAGTGAGCAATGTCATCAGTATTGTAATAATAACGCCCCTTATACCTATTTATTACAGGTTGTGTAGACCATTGTTGCCCGATTTATGGCAAAAACATTGACTTTTGCACATTGGTGATGATGGGCCTTTTTTAATAGATCTCATATCTTAGAAGGGTATCAGTTCAACAAAAACACTAGATGACCTAACATATTTTGCCATGCATTGCGCCTATTCATTTGGCAATTCAGTTGTAAATTTTCTCTTGAAAAAATAAATCCTCCAAATTTGTTGAGTTTTCTTGCAGAAATCGCCTGATCCCCCCCTCCTCATTTTTGTACGATCACCGGGTGTGATACTTATTTCTTCATTATATGTACATTTCTTTTAAACTATATTGATTCATTTTTGCAAAACCTTTGCTATTAGATCTTTAAGAGGGCCAAAAAAGTAAAATTTGCAAGGTCAAAGGTCAAGGTCATTGAATTAAATCACAAACTGTTTTCTAAGTTTCTCAAAATTGGTGACTACGAATCAATATTTTTTCATGAAAGTCAGGATATATATTCCTCTATAGGTTCTACACACATTAGCAATTGACTATTTATTAAAATTGTGTACCAGTTTTGAATTATTAGAACTCAAAAACTGAAAAAAGGTCAAATTTCGAAAAATTTTCAAGACTAAATTTCAACTTGCTTCAAATTGACCAAATTTGTTTTTAAAAATCATTGGGTAAGATTTAACACTTTGATGTTGGAGCTAAATAATTACTTGATAATTTGTGTGACTTTGGTTCATATGGTAACTATGGTTACCCAGACAGGCCAGAACAGCGTTTAGCGCAATTTGTTAGCCATTATACCTACGACCGTATATGCTAAGAAAATGATAAAAAATAAATATCCAAATAAGAACAAGGAATATCGAAGAACAGCATACAACGGTCAGATTTATATGACTACAGTCAAAACAGAAATGTTTGTGACTACTTTGAATTTAAAAAATAAGCAATCAAATGACCATATTGGAACAGTTTAGAATAGAAACATTTATATTCATCCTAACTTTGGTATATTTTAGTTTGTTTTGTATTATAGCTATCATATCTGTGTCCTCTTATATTTTGGTACTTCTCTGCCATGTTATTTTCCGAAAAAATTAACATGGCTGAAACTCCCTAAATTACAAAAGGCCACAGCTTTGCTGCACATTATAGATTACTATCTGAAATATAAAAAAGTTAGGATAAATATAAATGTTCCTATTTTTACATAAGCTGTTTCAATATGGTCATTTGATTGCTTATTTTTTAAATTCAAAGTAGGCCTAGAGTCCATTTCACTGTTTTATTGCGTCAGTAGAACCCCACAAATAAGAAATCGGGAGTCCATTGTGCAATAATATATGGAAGAGCATATTCATATTTTACATGAGTATGTATATGTACTTGTATATTTCAGATTTTTTAGTTTTTTGTGCAATAAGCCTGTGCCCTTTTGTAATTTGAAGAATTTCAGCCATGTTAATCTTATTGAAAAAAATAACATGGCAGAGAAGCATCCAAATATAAGAGGCCACACCCATGTTGAAATGGACCATGGCTATACCATGGTATACCATGGTATGACCATGGTATATGGCCATGAAATGCAATGAAATACCATGGTAATACCATGGCCGATCATGATCGTTAAATGGCACCATTGCATTTCATGGTTAACAGCGCATTTTTAACATGGAGTTTTCCATTGAAAAAATACTGCCGTTTCGCAGTATTTCATGGTCTGACCATGAAATACTGCGAAACTGCAGTATTTTTTCAATGGGAAACTTCATGTTAAAAAAGCGCTCCTGACCATGAAATGTAATTGTGCAATTTAACGATCATGATATACCATGGTATACCATGGTCAATTAACATGTAATTTTGTATCTAAAAAATACCACCGTTTCACAGTATTTCATGGTCAAATACCATCAAATGCAGTGATATCATGGTCTAGACATTCAACCATGATATGCAATGGAGCCATCCAATTATCATGATCTACCATGGTCACTTTACTGCAGTTTTTCATGGTTGCAAACCATCAAATAGAGTCAAGATGTTTAGTCGAAGACTGGAGGTTGGACTTACATAATACTGAGTTGATCTCCTATTTTACTGACAACAGTCAAAAAAAGTTAAGCAAATTTGTTTAACAAAAAAATTTTGTTTCTAGCGTTATTAACTTAATTATTCATAATAGAAATTAATTTATTAAATAAAGGAACAAAAGTATATATAAAGTTGTGATTTTGATGAATATCAGAATCATTAATTATAATAATTTGTTTATCTAATTAACATTTATCAATAAAGATGTTTCATGTAAAAAATACTTTTTGAACATGGTCTTTCATTGTATTTCAGTGCATTGCAAGAAAGACCATTGCATTTCATTGCATATCATGATCAATCATTGCATTTCATTGCATTTCATGGTGAAACGTGGTATTTCATTGTATTTCATGATCCATTTCAACTCTGACCAATTTTAGACTTCGAAACTCTTCTAGAGTTCTTTTGGCAATGAAATACCATGGTATAACCATGGTATTCGATGGTCAGGTTTGACAATGAAATGCTATGAAATACAATCAACCACGAAATGAAATGATATGCCATGATAAATGATATTTATGATTATGGCAATGAAATACCATGGTATGACCATAGTATTTGATGGTCAGGTTTGACAATAAAATGCCATGAAATACCACCAACCATGAAATGCAATGATAAAACCATGATAAATGAGAGTTATGATTTTGGCAATGAAATGACATGGTATGACCATGGTAATTGATTCTCACATGGTACAATGAAATGCCATGAAATGTCATCAACCATGATATACCATGGTAATACCATGGTAAATGATGGTCAGGTACTTAACAATAAAATATCATGGTATGACCATGGCATTTGATTGTCACATTGTACAATGAAATACCATCAACCATGATATACAATGGTAATACCATGGTAAATGATGGTCAGGAACATGGCAAAGAAATACCATGGTATTTGATTGTCACATCTTACAATGAAATTCCATGAAATGTAATCAACCATGATATACCATGGTAATACCATGGTAAATGATGGTCAGGAACATGGCAATGAAATACCATGATAATACCATGGTATTTGATGGTTAACTTTGAACATGAAATACCATGAAACATGGTATAACATGATATACCATGGTATACCATGGTAAAAAATTGACCAAAAAACATCATTGCCACCATGGTCAGAGTTGATGGTAATTTCATTGCCGATCATGATAGACCATGGTATCATGGTTAACGTTTAAACATGGACATTTTATAAGCCAAACTAAAAGCAATCCAAGATATACAAATGACATTCATGTACAGTTGGGGACATAAATAAATGACAGGTGGATTTGCTGAAGTGAGGATTTCCCATGTTAAAAATAAGAGAATTTACAAGAGGCCATACATCAGTGGATGAGATTATACAAAATGTAAAATATACAAATTTTAAGGGATATATATCTAGACAATATTGGAAATTATTGGCTTTTAGACCACCATAATTAGGAAATGGTGATCGAAAATCGACCTGTCATTTATTTTTGTCCCCAACTGTACATATTTTTCCATATATTATTGCATAATGATATTTGGATTTCTTATCTTTTAAGTTTTACTGACGCAATAAACAGTGAAATGGACTCTAGTCACAAACACACAGATAGCAGAATTTTTCTTAGGAAATACATCCTAAATAAATACAAAATACGAAAATACGAGTAGACTACATACGAAATCAATGAAGTTACATCTAGACTAGCTGTAAGCTAGAGACTTGAGTAACTGTGGACCTAAGTAAGTGCAGGTATAGCCCTAGAGCAATTTCTTCCCAAAATGTTATTTTCCAGCTGAAACTTAATATAGGCCACAAGAAATGTCAGATAAAAAAACTGAAATCTGGAAAACAGTACTGTCAACCCCCAAAGATTTTCTCGCGGGACAGATTTTTTAGACCCAGTTCCAAAAATTCGCGGGATTTTGCGGGACATCCACCTAAATTCGCGGGATTTCGCGGGACATTTAAGGGATTTGCGTGATTGCGCTAAAAGGTCAAATTTTGATCAAATTCGCGGGACCATTCGAGGGACAAACACGCTACTTGCGGGACAATTAACAGGGTAACCACCAAAGACTTCAGAGAGGGATAATTTTTCTAGACAAAGTGCCCTAAATTCGCGGGATTTTGCGGGACATCCACCTTTTGCGGGATGTCGCAGGACATTCAAGGGATTTTTAATGTAAAAGTACTCTTGAATCAAACTTTCAGATACTGATTTATCAAATATAATGCACTTAACTTAAGTAAACGTCAACACAATTCCACACAATACCCATAGAACTATTATTAAACTATCAAAAACCACGCTTAAGGTGTGAGTACCGTAATCCGACATGAAATTCAAAAATTCTTGTGAATACTTTGCACTTATCGCGTTCGTGACCAACTATGAAACATTTACCCCCATAGTGTTATATATCAAAATGTACCTATTCGTATAGGGGTTCGATTATTCTACATCAAATTATGGGGAGTCAGGTTTCTTTTCGAGATATCAGTGTCCATTTATTGGAACTCGCGTTTGCTAACATTTGTTCAGTTCTGAGATGAAGGCCGTGACACGCGTAGTAAAAAGGCCAACGTTGGAACTAATCGTGACATACATCCCTTTTTCCGTAATTAAAATGAAATTTGCACTCTTCCTCTTTATTTTGATACCAAACGGTATGCTAGAAGCCAACTATGGTGTTATTTGGATCAAAATCATAGTTTTATAAGTGTACTATATGCTCCTTCCAAAAGCAGTCTTCGATGATCTGATGCACTGGGAGTTCGGCAGCACTTTTCAAATTAGGTAAACTTGACTCCTCAAAAGTGCAAAAAGCTTAGCTTCTTAGGGCGAAGGGGTGTAACGTCGACACTGTTTTGGGGTAACTTCGACATGTGGGGTAACTTCGACACCTTGTTGTTTATTTGCTCTAATTTCCGATCTAGGGGGAAGCCATGTTTTTTTTCTCGCATGGATCGAGATCTCGCGAGATTTTATTTTTTCCAAAAATCAAACATGGCGGAAAGCGGAAATTCTAGTTCTAATACGTAAGTGTCGAAGTTACCCCGTCTAATATGTCGACATTACCCCACACGTCGACATTACACCCCTTCGCCCTATATCACAATATAATCACAATTATTTAGCCTCGGGGATTGTTACAATTTTGAAAATTCGCGGAGGTCAAAGCCGTCATTTGCGGGAATTCGCGGGACATTGCGGGACACGCGAATAAGCCAAATTTTGGTCGAATTCGCGGGATAATCCCGCTATTCGCGGGACACTTGACAGCTCTGGGAAAATTCAAATTCAAAAATTGCGATGATGATCGATGATTTGAAAAAAAATACACCGTTCGGATTATGTGAACATGCTTACCTTCAATTCGGAATGGTATTCCTTAGTGCCACCATGTTTCCTGAATAACTGGTAGTGTGCTTTATTCTTGGCGACATTATTAACCGATTAATTAAGGAAAATAAGACATAAGTTTGAATCCAATTTGAATTTTGTATATCAAGATAATTTCCAATATGGACGACCGTTTCGATCACATGACTAATTTTCTGAAATCTGATTGGCCAACCAATCAGCACGATAGAGGGCACCTGTTGTAAGTAGGTCAGTCACAATATTCAGAATTTTGGAAGAAATATCTAGTCCTACGTCTGAGTTTTTAAGAAACTTTGTGATGACAATGGAGAAAATTGATGAAACTTATTGAAGACCCAGTGTTCCACCATGTAAGTAAGAAATTTAATTTCTTTTCTTTATCACTATATTATGTCACTGAAGCACTGTTGCACTTACACTTTTTGCCGCTCAAGCTTAGCCTAGCCTAAACTCTGTTAAGCATGATAAAAGGCAAGAAGTTTAGTTAGAAATAAAAGAGTTATCTCATGAATGGGACCCTTACATGGCTCCTAAAAGGTAGAAGACACTAAATGGTGTAACACTATAAGCTGAATTTTGTCCACATAGAGCATGTGCACAATACTAAAGACATGTAAAATTGAACTGTCAAAATAATAGAAATTACTCACCAGCTCGCCTCTACCGGAAGTTATGATACGTTATGGTGTAACTACGGTAATTAATTTTAAAATATTGAAAAAATCAACAACATTCAATTTCTAGGGTGTACAACCATTTTCGAGCGAATTTGCCGATATAATAACAATATTTTTGAGTTCCCCTAGGCTATATATAAACTTCATCAATACACAGTATATTCAACATAGGTTTTGCTTCTCGATTTTTAAATATCACTATGCAAAGACAGGGACTCATTTTAGGTAAAATCATTGCTTCACCAATGAAAATTAAAGGGAACGTTAGCTCACAAAATAAATAAATCCATTACAATGTTAAGTATATGATTTGAAAGATTGTCTGGATTATATGTGTGATCGATTGATGCATAAACAAACATATTCATTTCAACTTGCAGACCTCCATTCTGGCTCATGTATAGGCCTAAGACGCCATATTGCCTTATGTATTGTACTGCCCATGCGTGCATACTTAATGCGTGACGTCACATCGACAGAGATCAGCGATCAAGTTTGACTAAAAAATTAAAAGATCCACACTTAACAGCACAAAAATGATATCAATGATCGCCTATTTCATATCAAATAAGTGTAGGATGTAAGGTTTAACATTTTTCATGTTATTTAGTATTTACAGAAGCAGAGCTTGTAAAGAAACCAAGTTTTAAATTCCGATTTTGACTGTTGACAAAAATAAAGAAAAGAGAGAAAGAGGTGACTTGTTAGAAACAATGACATGAAATTGTGAATAAAAAAGATATTATTGTGGGTTTTATTTTTTGAGAGTTCATCAAATACACTCATGTGTATTAATTTAAATATGTATTGTAATACCTCTCAGTTCTACCAAGGATTATAAAAACTGATCGAAATGGCTTCGTTTTTAAAGTATAAAAAACACTACCCTACCCGGAAGTAGTATAACATGTATATTGAAACCATGTGTAAACTGTAAATAACGTGAATTGGCTGATGCAATCAGGATGTGACTAGTACAAAGTAACTATGATGCAATCAGGATATGACTTGTGCAAAATAATTGGCTTCACCTAGAATTCGCGATCTTTGCTCTTTAGCATAACATGAAGACATGTTTTGTGTTTAAGTAGCTAGATTCAAATACAAACTAAATGAATAAAACATAAACCAACCATCATTTGTTCCTATCATGGCGAATTTTCAAGGAAATACGTGTAACTGAATGTAAATCAACAGCGGAGCTCTTCAATTATGAGGTGAGAAAAATATAAAAATAAAAACAAAAATAAATCTCACAGAATAGAGCTATTTATACGATTCTAAGAACATTTTAAGTGCTCCATACATTAATGTAAGTATAAAAACCATTAACCTCAACTGGGAAGCACTTTCCAACTATTTTTACGGCTTGAATTGTAAGAAAATGGCACTTATTTCAAAAAATGGAAATTTGAAAGAAGCTCAATTTATTGTGAAGATGAAGTTTATATATATCTGTATATGGGGGTGCGAATATATAGTCATAGTATGGGCTAATTCGCTTAAAAATGGCGATATATACCTCAGAACTTGTATTTTGTGATTTTTTCAATATTTTAAAATTAATTACCGTAGTTACACCATACCGTATCATAACTTCCGGAAGAGGCGAGCTGGTAAGTATATTTCAGTTCTTTTGACAGTTCAATTTTACATGTCTTTAGTATTGTGCACATGCTCTATGTGGACAAAATTCAGCTTATAGTGTTACACCATTTAGTGTCTTCTACCTTTTAGGAGCTATGTAAGGGTCCCATTCATGAGATAACTCTTTTATTTCTTACTAAACTTCTTGCCTTTTATCATGCTTAACAGAGTGTAGATCTAGCTTACTCTACCGAGCTGACAGAAAGTCAGCTCTGGGAAGTTCCGTTGGCATTGCAATGAAGAGAATAAATTGAGCGCATGCGCAAAAAATTAAGAAATGGTGCGCGCCGGAACAGAAATTTCTCCAATTAACTGCAAATTACACAACAAATAGAACTTGTTGACACCACGCGTCAGAAAAAAGGGCAAGTAATATTCAATTATCTTCCTAAATACCGTTACTTATGCCAGCGCACCAGCTGGAAGTTGGGGAAAAACGCTTCACAAGCCGGTATATTCTAACGGTGTGTCAGCTGGCTTTTGAGCCAGTAGTCCAACAAAATTAGACCTAGCCTGGGCCTCGTTTCTTATCTGACATGTCTTATGGCCCCGGCTAGGTCTAACTTCCATGATGATTTTGCCCTTGTTGCGATCATTTAAACGTTCAGCAGGTTTCGACATGCGGAACTAATTAAACTCCGAAAACATGGTAATATTACATAAAGAATGTGATTCAAGCATGCATACATACCTTATAAATACATACACACCATCCCGTACCCCCCTTAGACCATATTGATGCATAATTTCGAAAATATTGGAGACAGGTTTGGAATTTTACGAAAATATCGGTCAGCTCAGGTAACATCGAAATTGCAAATCGTATCAGGAATTAACCGTCATTGCGACACTGCATCAACGAACAGTAGGTTTGCAATTAATAACGATTTTGTGTGTATACAAGCGCTATATAAATCAATCAAAGATACCTGCTATCCTCAAAAATGGCTATTTTATCCCGAGTAATCGCGTGATAATTATCAATCTATTTGACAACAATTTCGTTTCAATAGTTTAAATTTTAACCCGGGACGAACAGACACAATGAAGGACATGCGGAAATGTCATTTTAGAGATTGGTAAGTTTAACCTCATTTTACTTGTATAAATGACCATTTAATACAATAATATTGTGTTGAATCGCTTGATGTTATGTGTTTTTATATTGTTGTCAAGTATCAGTTGCATGTTATCGCGGAAAAATGGTTTCGGTGGATCCAAAACTTGCATCAATGGAAAGAATAGTAAAGAGGTTAAACTCAATAATGGCCCCAAGAAAATTCTTAATAATAAATAACGCCGTTATTGAGTTAAACGACGTTGAACTATTGAGCCAGCTGTGTTCAGTAAGATCTAGCCTAGGCCTAAAGTGGGGTGCAAAAATAAATCTCAACCCTCAAAAGTTGTCACAATGAGCTAAATCCTAAGTTTCGTGTCTCAAACTCTCGCGAGCGGTAGAAAAATAATTCCCGTTGACTTTAAGTAGCACAATAAATGAATCCAAAGCTTCATACCTGCAAATGATGGATAAATCCCTACCAAATCGAACGAATGTTTTCACGAATTGCCATGTTTGTGATCCAAGGAGGATTGACTCCCAGAATGCAACATCAGTTAACCTTATTTACTTGTGACAGGTTTCAAAATGGCGGAACAGCATTTTGAAAGCTGGCATGTGTTATGTTGCATTCTGGGAGCCAATCCTCATTGTGGCGTAATCGGGCTCCAAAATCACTTCAACATTTGAAGAGTCGTCATTAACATGTGAATTTCCACTTCAAATTTTTAAGTTCTTATTTGTCATTATGGACACAAATTCCACTATACCTGGACTTACTAGGATGGAGAAAATAGAGCACTGAATACACCGAGGTAAGAATTTATTACATGTGCGACAGCATGTAATTTTCATAGCTATAGTAATTCTTTATGTTCCCCACTGTAGTAAGACTTTAGCCTCCTATAGATCTAGGCTAGGCCTAGATCTATCAAACAGACTGACTAGAACTTTTGGAGTAGTTGCCCGGGGGGTTCAACAAGCAAATCGAACAGAAGAGAAGGCAGCCTTTGGTGCTCTGGCAGGGATTTCCAACTTCACCAGCAGCAACTCTGGTTGTGGCGAGGAGGTGTTCACCATGCTATACAAAGAGCTGGGGCATGGAGACAGGTTACTGAAAAAATTGTTAGATCTAAACATATCTAATGAATTATACCTGAAGGAGTGACAGAGAGATATTGCCCAATCTTGACTAAAATGGCTCTGGAATGACAAGTTTCTACCTCATGCCCAGCCTTCAGTCATGGCTTAGATCTATTTTGTAGAAAACAAATGTGTCCATACTTCTACTAATGAGTTTTTCCCATGAATATGCTTGCTCAAGTATAAATTCATCAGATTACACCCCTAGAATTTCAAATTTCTACTACACCAACGGCAGAGGAAAAAAACAAATCTATTCTTCACCTACTATCCACTAAGTAGGCACTTACTAGTATGTATCCAACAGACTGACTAGAAGTCAGTCTGAATATAATTCAGACTAAATCACGCCCAGTGCTCGTACAAAATGGATGGAGGGGGAGTGGGCGATTTCTGCAAGAAAACTCAACAAATTTTGAAGTTTTATTTTTCTAAGAGAAAAATTTACAACTGAATTGCCAAATGAATAGACACAGTGCATGGCAAAATATGTTAGGTCTTCTAGTATTTTTTTGAACTGATACGCTTCTAAGATATGAGGTCTATTAAAAAAGGCGCATCATCACTAACAAAAAAGTCAATGTTTTTGCTATAAATCAAGCAACAATGGTCTACATGAC